GACATAAACTGTGTTTATGTATATTTGATGGTTTAGATGCGCACATGAAGCCCAAAATGAGGCGATAGCCTACTTTTCTTGTCTCGTTTTAGTGCATTTCGGAGCGCGCGTCGTGAACAACGTCTCTTGCGCAGACTTTTGTGCTTTTAATGGCTCTTTTAATGATTGCACGCGTCCACAGTTTAGCAACAGTACAGACTGCATTTTACAACAATCACCGATCGTGCTGATTCTGACGGTAGCCTACGTTTGGGTTTTAGGAAGAAATGACAGCGCAACGCTGTGAAGGGGAGGAAGTTGCGCTGGACAGAATGCGTCTGTAATGGTTTCATCTCAAATATCTTCTTTTTATAATCTTTGAAAGCGGAAATCTAAAATACAATTAGAATAATATCCCAGATCTAAAGTGTAACCACGTTTTGTCCTCATTATCACTCATTAAGCAGGGCTGTCGTGCTGTGCGCGCTGTGGCTCCGGGTGAGAGATCGCTCTATCTTCTGGACTGCGAATAGCAAAATTGCATCACAGACAAATTGTTTAATATTTTTATTATATATAGAAATGGTTGATATTCAGCCCCGTTGCCCTTTTAATACCGGGTACCAAGCGGGAACACTGAAACGAGCGAACGTACAAGCCATATAGTGACACGCGTAACGTTAAACCAATGGTGTAAACATAATCTGATGAATATGACGCCACGGGTTTTTATTTAAGAAAGAACGTAGCCTACGTTTGTAGGGTATGTAGACACAAGCAACTTTCACAATACTAACTAAAATATAATTAATATTATTTTATTGAATTTGAATTAGTCGTTTGAAGAGTAAAAAAAAAAATCGGTCGGTCTGAACGCAGGTTACAACCGGCAAGTCGGTCGGACAAAAAGGAAAAAAAAATAAAAAATTGGGTCGGCCCTAAATTGACAGGGTCGGTCGGGTTACGGCAAACAAGAATATTTTTAAGGGTGGCCACATTTTAAGCGAATCAGGTGCTGGTTACACCATTATAGAACATTTGTTAGTCCATGTCACCTGACCTGATATGCCCTTTGCTAGTGAGCTGTGGAGCTCCCAGCATGCGGGTATCTTAGTTTATGCATACTCATGTATTGATCTGTCTTAATGCAACTCTCAGTTGAGTACATGGAGACAAGGATCTATAGTCTCAATGTTCTTTGTCAGTGCTGTAGTGTTTCTAGTGGTCCTAAAATGATGCCATCGTAGTTCACAAGGTTTTGGAACGGAGCATGTGACTAGGGCTGCAACTAACGATTACTTTGATAATCGATTAATCGGGCGATTATTTTTTGATTAATCGGGTAAATTCTATTCCATTTTTTGTTTATTACAACTCTAAAATCGGGTAAAGCCCTACATGTGACTGTCCATCCAGGCCATTTATGGAAACTAACTAGACACTAGGGGTGGCACGGTTCACAAAACCCACGGTTCGGTTTGTATCACGGTTTTAGGGTCACGGTTTTCGGTTCTGTACGGTTCTTGTTATTTTTTCTTTTAATCTTTAACACTCCAGAAATGTACTTCAGCATGTGATATATAGCTTAATTATCCACACTTTAGGATACAGTATTAAAATATATATATATATATATTATATTCATGCAATCATGCACAAACTGAATTTGACTCTTTGACTTTAAGCACATTTTTGGACTATCTCAGAGGAAAGCTAGGTGAGATTTAGATACAGCAAGAGAGAAGAAATTGACATGCTTTTTGTTTATTTGGCAAAAAAAAGGAGAATGTGTATCACTATCTCTACAAGAACTTGTGCATTTTTATCACATAAATCTTATTTGCACAAAGAAATTAACTTTCATGTATCAACTGCTAACTTTTGTAGCTCTTACCAAAATTATATCTTTTAAAAGAAAAAGAGAGGAACTCTTAAAACACTGTCTTTTAAATGTCAATATACATGAAACCTCATTGCCTATAGATAATTTAGCTATAGCAATAGCAAAGGCCATAAACATAAAGTGAAATTTAAGTTCAACCTCAACACAAAAACAGTAGCCTACTATCAACAATGCTTCTATTCCCAAAATGTGAGGGTACTTTTTTCAACTTAAAATTAAAGTGCAGGGTTTGGAAACGTATGACTGAAGCTCTTATCTATACATAAAGTGCCACTGTAGTTAAATTAAAATATCATAACATGAAATCCAAAATGTTCCCACACACTGGACTTATACCATAGACTTATACGACGCTGGCGCATCCTCCAACTCCCTCTTCTCTCCCACTTGCCATTTCTCCGCGTGCCGTGACCTGCAGCGCTCCATACTCCACTTTTACTGGCTTGTTTACTAACTTGAACCGGCGCTGCACAGAGTGATCGGTAATGATATCAAATACCGCGAAAGTGATGAATGCATACGGAGCCGACTCGCGCTAGACTGATGTTATTCACCGGTCGCTCTGTGCAGCGCCGGTCCACGTCGAACAAGTTTATGTCGCGCGAAAAGAAAACACACGTCACATACGGGCACGAGGTTACATTGCGCATGCGTCGAACCGTGAGACGCACACACGCTCCGAACCGAGACAAGCGAACCGAACGGTTCGGGTGTTTTTTCATGTACCGTGCCACCCCTACTAGACACGTTAACAAATGACCTCTTATGAACATTTTATCAACATGTATTTAGCAACTTGACTTCAGTTTCAACTTGGGATCAGTTGCGATCTTCAAATAGTCGAACTGTGTTCGAAATTCGATCATATAATTGCTTTTTCAAATATCGTTATATTTTCGCGCAATTCTAATGTGACATAGTTGACAGCGTACCTACTGTCACAGATTGCACAGCAGTGTATTTCCCTGTCGGGGACACAAGGTGTAGCTAACAAGAATGAAACCCCCTACGGCACCATCTAGGACAAACAACAGAAAAAGAGCATTGTCGTGACCGTAAACAGAGGTGGGTAGTAGCCTTTACTGTCTATGGTAGTAACAAAGTAGGCTGCATTTACTTTGTTACGTTGGGCAATGTTCCTCTCGTTTCTTTATTTTAACACAGTACATGTTGTTAAATGCGTAGTTTATTCCAAGCATGCTGTATCTTTTTATGGTCATGAGCGATGCTCAATTTACAAATGAATCACTCTTGAGTCGATTCTGTTCAAAGACTTCATCAAAGTCGTAACAGGAAGATTTAAGAACATGAAGTGCATTGAATGAACTGGATGTGGACCTATAGTTTAGTCTAGTGATAGCAAATCTGCAGCTGCATCATATTTTTGCCAGCGATTAAGATCTAGTTCAACATCTTCGTATGCTGTCTGTGAATGAATGATTGATTCCACAGGACAATACATTCAAGTTCATTTCATTCAGCTTAGCTAATACATTTTACAAGCACTACTACAAGTGTGATGCAAAAACAGACTGCCGTGCTTATTGTTTTTTGTTAACAACCAGAATGTAAAAAAAAACAGATGGAAACATGTTACTTGTTCATTTAATTAACAGTTTGTTTGTTTGACAAATTACTAAAGATAAAATTGACCTTTGGCTTCCCTTTCTGTCATTGTGAGTGTTTTTTTTTTTTTTTTTTTTTTTAACGATTATCGACTTCTGCTCCGATTTTTGAATGGCATCTTTGCCAGAAATTCACATCCCAAGTTTTAACATTGTTTTTTGCAATAGTGTTAAAATGACCAGTGTTCTGTACTCAATCTACATTTATAAAAGTTTATGTGGCTGTTGGTAAACTCCCACTTTGTTAGTGTAGCTTAACAAGCTTATTGACCCAACTCAGTCATTTGGTTTTATTTCAATGTTAAAAAAAAGCAGCTGTTATTGATTCCAAGTTTCCTTCGAGTTAGTGGCCTGTAAAGTCAAAATTTTGCGTTCAAGAGGGCTGGCTCTGAAAAGCAGGCGTTTTTACTTGCACAGTAAAAAAACGAAATGGAAGAACCATGCCAAGTTCTGCGGCGATTAAGGCCTTCTGCAAGTTTTAATCACACTCCTTTATTAGTTTACCATTCCTCCTCTGGAGAGAATGGGCTAAATTCATGTCTCTCCATATTTGCTGTTGTCTCCCTTCACCTCACCAAGATTTCGCTGGCAGGGATGTCCTGTGGAGAACACAGGGGAAACGATCTTAATAATTCAGTAGCGTTTCTTTCTAACTTGCCGAAATGGGCACGCAAGGGCAGAGGAGTTACGATAAGCTGGACTGAATTTAGCCATGGCTGTGCACGCATGCCTTGATGCTGAAATCCTGCTGTGGCTCCTGACGGTTCTTTAGTGACCACACAGCAACACTTAATGGTTACAACACTTGTGGATTGATGCCACATAACTAAAATAGGGAATCGAGAACTTGTTCTTGTTTATTCGGATACTGTCTGGATGAGTTTTGTCAAAAACAATAAATATACAATCATCCCTCTATGGGGTTGCACGCAAGCAGAGCCGAATGGGACGGGCCAAGTGTGAGGTAATTGTCCCATTCTCTGACTATTCGCAATCACGTTCTGTATGTTTGCCATAGGTCCCCCCTCAAGGTACCGTGGCGCACCGGTTGCACTGTCCTAAGGACGGCTCTGTGCACGTCTTGTTACTTCTGCATGATAGTCAAATAAAAAGAAACAAATCTAAAGTACTAAACCAAAGTAGTAAATCATTAATGCTCTGGGTCGAGAAGCAGAATTGTTAAATCAGTCCCATCACTTCACGTTTAAAAAAAAAAAACGCACATCTACGTTCCCTTTTGTCATGAACAATCATGACTAGATATGTAGGACAGAGTAATGAAGTGCCCGTGACCTCTGTCACACTGGACCCAGTTTTTGAAATGGGCCTGTTTAAGGATTCATGTAGTGTTCATGTCATGATAAACCAAGTGAAAACAGAAATGTGGTAAATGAAGGATGTGACATTTGCTACTCTTCTTCAAGATTTCTATCTTCTATGACCTGGATTAACCTTCTTGATGCTTCATTGATCTGGTTGGTTTCTCACTGCAGGTTTACAAAGGACTGGACATCATCACCAATAAGGTTACAGAGGAGGAGCAAGCCCAGTGTCCCCATCACATGATCAGCTTTGTGGATCCTTTGGTTAGCGGATACACAGTGGTGGACTTCAGGAACAAGGCCTTGTCTCTCATATCCTTTATGATACGCCCAACCCTTCATAATAAAATCCCAAACGACTCCAGATTGAATGAAATTGTTTAAGGCTTTGTGAATGCCCTTGCAACTCTTATGAAGTGCTTTTAAAGATAAATCCGTCATTAGATTCACTAAGCGCTCTCTTACTCGCATGTGAAGGAAGGCCTGTTCACACTAAGGATAACTATAAAGTTTTAACAATTGGTTTTGTTCTATGAAAATAGTGAAGTTCACTACACATCTGTAATGATCTATAATAATATTCTTGGAATAACTTTCAGAATATTTTTTTTTTCGAGCTTAGGAATGACAAAAACATTGACCGCCAATCAAGGTCACCAGATATTAAAGACCTTGTGGATGTTTGTGTGGATGTTTGTGTGGACTATATATATATATATATATATCATTATAGAAATTTGTCTTGGTGTGAACGGGATTTAAATCACACACAGTGAAGCATTCAGAGCAGTTACTGTGTTTACAATTAACTTCCTTACTGAACGGTGAGCCATTTTTAATGTCTCCTGTAATTTGTGGAGCCAATTTCTACACAGTCTGTAACCCTGATTGGGTGACTAGTTGGCCATTTTTCCCTATCCATACACCCTATAATTAATGGTTGCAGAGATTCATTTGGTTGACAAGTTTAGTTGGCAGGCCCTTCTAAATATAAATGCCTATTTTGTCTCTGCAGATGAAATTAATGGGCCATTACTCGTCCTTTTAAGATATCATCTGCAAACTTCTTAATGATCATTCTGAGTAATTGTTCTTTTAAAATGTCATCGCCTCCCTGACATCAGTGACACAGCTTTTGTAAGACTGCTCCTTGTTTGAATGCAAATCCCCATATTTTAATTTCACGTCTTTTGTGGAATGTGGCATTTCCCAGCGTCCCACACAAATGGCTCTGGCATTTTATGAGTGGGTGCTGGGTTGTACTCCCTCGGCATGGTCTTTTAGTAAATGCAAGGGCATAACTGGAAATGCGTGTACCAGAGACGGAGAGAGACTGTCCTCGTTTTCCACGCCCTCCTCCTGCAGATGTTTGCTGAGAGATGAGGAGGATATTAATAGCTGTGGGAGATGCTGTGAGGAGGTGGGGCGGCTCTCGCAGTGTCTGGAGGAATGCTGTCGCAGACACCTCAGACGCTCATGCACACGAAATGAGGAGTGATGGGTGAAGAGCTTCTCGGTCTCGCCTTGCTGAAGAGCAGTGATAACTACTATAGTCAAGTCATCTTCATTTATATCACCCCTTCAAAGGATTGTTCTTAAGCGGCTTTACAGTGATAATAGGAAATTAAAGTTACAGAGGTTATTACATATTGTACAGTATTTTATTTTACTACACAATACACTAAAATAGGGCTGTGAATCAAATAAAGTAATCATCATGATTAGGATTACGACTGCACAGTATTACGAAATACAATATGGCATAGTCTGGTTTGTCATATTGCTGAGGCTGCGATTTAATTAAATTATTTGCACTACTTGTTTCAGCGACGCATTCACACACCTGATATCATGAGCTATATGGACACACAGGGATGAGCTTCACGCTGAAATAATTCAGGCCTAAAAAAGATATTGCCATTTAAAAAAAGTTTCGTTGGAGAAAATTTATCAAAAAAAGAAATTATATAAATTTTTTTCATTTTCTATGCTTATTTCCCAACTAAATCTCCTCTCTCACTCTTGAATGGCTTATTCTTCCCAAATACAGCTATTCAAGTTATTTGGTGAAAAATCATTTTTTTCTCTCTCTCCTTTAATATCACTATTACATAAAAACAGAATATCACAAAATCAGTATTTTCCAATATCGTGCAGCCTTATTTTTGTCATTACCATCCAGACATGCTTGACTATTCTTTCTGTCTCGCAATCTCGTCCCCACCCCTTTCCTCGTGTCCTTCTCTTCTCTCCTCCTCTTTTGTTTTCTCTCCCTCCCTCCCCAGGGATCACAGAGTGATGCAGTTGGGGTGGACAGCGTTCGGCCAGACTGCTTTGATATTAATGCATGTGACCTGAAAGTGTGTCTGTGCGCGTATTTGCGCCTTCTCATATTGAAGCAGTTAACGAGTTGCTCCATGGAGCTTCTGACGCCATTTATTAAAATCTTCAGCAGAATCCCAGCAGTCATGTCCCTCTCACAGCACCAGAACTTGGCAATACATGAATTATTGTTTGAGCATCTATAGATCTGAGAATGATATTGCGTTTCATCCGAGCACTATAGGAGTGGTGCACTCTAACCCGATATGGTTGCACATGTATGATCATTGTGCATAATTTATGCAGTGCTTGTAGCTGTGGCATCAAAGGATGTTTATTTGAAAAATTAAGTTTGACTTCCTTAATGTGATACATAGAGGACATGCATGATCGGAAAAAGCTGCCCATCATTGTTGGAGGCACAAACTACTACATTGAATCCATTTTATGGAATGTGCTCATCGACACTGGGGTAAATGTGAGTTTTAATGCTTTTTTTTTTATTATAAAGAATTGCTCTGTTCCAGAACCTAGTCATCTGCCTACGTGGGCAGCATTTTCAAAGTTGCAATGTAGCAAAAGTAGAACAGCTCTTTTCTTCTGTATTGTGACGTACATTCTAATAAAACAGATTATCGAAAAAGAAAAAATGTGGGGGACTTGGTTCTTTGCTCCAGTTGTTGATTGGATGATATCTAAATTATGCTGCTGTCAAAGATACCTTGTTTTGCGAAGAGAAGAAAATTAGAATGCATTATAGCATTGATTAAAAAGTAAAGCATAATAAAAATTGATTATTTTACAGTGCAGTTCATTGGAGGATCATACTGTTTGCAACATGCTAACATCAAACTATGGACCCTTTTCACAGTCTGATGATTCATTTCAACAATTATTAGGCCATGTGTCCACCAAAGAGTTTTTAGGCAGCTGAAGACGCCGTGCTTTGGGCGCTTGAGAGCGTTTTGGCTGCGCAGAGTTTTTTTCGTTGAGACGTTTCGTTGCTATGATACAGAATATCCGCAGCACAGTTTGAATGTTGTGATAGTCAGTGTGGTTTAGCCCCGCCCCTCCTCCACTGTGATTGGACGGCTGGGTAAAAAGTGACAGTGAGGAGTTCTGCGTTTTATCCAAAGTTGAAAATTTTTCAACTCTCGGCGACCAGTAAAAAACGCTGGGCACTCGGCGCTTCAGCGTGAAAAAAACGCTCAGCTCCTCGTTACGCTCATGGTGTTTAAAAAACGCGGCGCTCCCATTGAAAACAATTGAAAACATAAGCCAAGCGCGTGGAAAAAAGCTTTGGTGGACACACGGCCTTAACGTCATAATAAAATGAATACGTAATATTACCTTGGCTTTGAGTGTTATTGTTTCTAATACAATGGCTGAGGGAGTGATGGCAAATCTTTCTCTTTTCTGAACATCATAATCAATCTTTCGATATTTTGTTCCTGTTTGGGAAAGTCATACAATTGTGGATTTTCTCTTGCTATTGGAGCAGTAGAAGTTTACTTGACTGGAAGTTTACCCAGCTATGATGGCTTCTGAGAACACTGGAAATGTGAAAAGGGTCCATTTAAATCAATCAAAAATCAAGTCAGGGAATTGTAACCAGAATGACTAATTATGAGTTTGATTGCCTTGTCTCATCGTGTCACTGCACTAGTGTCCTAGACACTGTGTTAAAAGGCAATATGCAATAAGGCAGCTGACTACATTTGAAACAGAGTTAGTAAGTCATGGTAATATTAAAAGGCTTTCTGTTTATCTATTGGCAGAGATAACCTAAACGAGTCCTCCTCTGTTTGACCTACAGCAGGGGAGTGACACAGAATCCGAAAATGTTGGGACTCCTGAATCAAAGGCGGAGCTTGAGAAACTGGGTGGTCCTGAACTTCATAGACGTTTGAAGGAGGTGGATCCTGACATGGCTGCCATATTGCACCCTCATGACGCACGCAAGATTGCAAGGTAATTGTTTCAGTGATCGCACAAAACAGACAGATTAATTTCCCTGCACCCATTTGCAGAAAAGCTTAGTGTATTTTCAGTTTGGGTTTGGATCTGAAGGGTCTTTGTATTAGTGGGTAATGGTCTCGGCAATAAAGCATCTAGTCTTGACTCCAGCACTTTGTGTGTAAATAAACCTATTTTCTTAATTAGTTTCAATTCAAACACCAACAGAGAAATAGGTACTAGTTAAGTTCCTGGTGTTTGAACCTACATCCTTCTCAGATACCATCCCAGATCTTTGTCCACTGTGGTAAATTTTGGCATTTGTTGGGCTACATCTATTCTCCCACCTGTGTGGGAGAACTGAAGGCTGTGGCTTCTAAGTGTGTTGCACACACGTTTTCACATGCTTCAATTGGTGTTTGATTGGTGTCAAGGGGCCGATTAGCACCTCTTCTCAGAACTATGTGCTTGTTTAATTGATGCCAGCCTGTGTGCCACTGCGTCTGCAGTTGAAGAGAGCTTCTACTTGCTGCGGTAGAAGAGCTTCTCTCACAGTTATAAGTGCTAATGTCTCCTTACTGGAATCAGCTGCTTCTGAGGAAATTATTTGCTTGGAGTCCCATGAACCTTGTCTTCAGCATGACCAAACTTTAACTTCATTATCATTCATCTTTTTTTGGTGTTGTTCACCATGTTCTTGTTTGGTATGTGGCGTGCTCTTTCCAAATAATATGTTCAGTTGAGAGATTATTTGGCATTTGGAAATATTTTAAATGTATTTGAGAAATGCAGTGTTTTATCTGAAGTCATAGTATTTTGAATTTATTGGTTGATTGACAGGAGTCTGCAGGTGTATATGGACACTGGAGTTCCACACAGTCGGCTTTTGGAGGAGCAGCGAGGGCAGGATGGAGGAGATTGTCTTGGTGGTCCCTTGCGGTTCCAGAACCCTTGCATCTTCTGGCTGCACTACAAAATGAATGGTAGCCACCAGTCATTGTAGATTGTGACTGTAACATGTCTTTAGTATCTTTATTTAATTTCATCAATCATCCTCCCCTGTAGCTCTGGATGAGAGGTTGGACAAGCGTGTGGATCAGATGTTATCGCATGGGCTGATTGATGAGCTCAGAGATTTTCACGTGCGCTTCAACGAGAAGATGATCAAAGATAGCAGGTAAATCGTAATGTTGTTAAAGAACATTTTTCATCTTGTTACACTTGTGGCATCTACAAAAAATAACTTATAAATCTCGTTATACTATATTATCACCCAATATTGGATTCAATCTTTTTGTCAACTTGCTTTCTTTCAAATAGGGCTGGTTTTATATTTCCATTTGCATTTGATTAATTGTAGGCCTCATTTATCTGAGAGTAGGCATCTTTTTTTTGAGTAAAAAAAGCATTATGAATAATTTTCACAATATTAAACAAAATATGTAGACAAATTGCTTTGTTCATCACACTAATGTGCTCTAATGTTTTATCAGGGTGTTTGTTTTGAAATGCTTTTATTTTGTAAATTTGTTTCAAATTGACAAATTTTTGTCAATTTGTTCTTTCAAATACGACTGGTTTTATATTTCTATTTGCATCTGATTAATCGTAGGCCTCATTTATCTGAGAGTAGACATTAGTAAAAAAAGCATTTTTGAATAATTTTGGAAATATGAAAAAAAGTGCACTGTTTGTCACACTAGTCTACTTTAATTTATCACCAGGAACCTTTTATTTTTGTACAAAATGGCACAGAGTTACACTTGTTTTGTTCCAATGGGCCATAGAAAGATTGAATCCAATATTGGGTGATAATATAGCATGACGAGTGATTTTTATTTTAATTATTTATTTTTTTTATAAGCTGTTTTTTATAGGCTGGTCATTTTTGACCAAGAACATCAAAAGTGTTAGGGTTTTGAAAACCACACAAGGGTTAAATAAAGTCAAAAGCTAATTCATGAAAAAAATATTGATGTAACTGAATACTTCTAATGAATACTGAATACTTAAACACATAGAAGCGTAAGCTAACTTGATTATTGCACTGTCTGGTTTAGGCTAACATGTACTCCACAGAACAAAACTATGACGGAAGCAAATGCACATTTACAAATTAAAATGGTTTGTCAGCCACATAGATTTATCAGTATCTATAATATTATTTTCCTAGTTATTGTTATCAGCCACCTATTCTATTGTGTGTGTCTGATTTTTTTTCTCTATTTGGTATATGGAACTAGGTCAGGTTTGTTTTGTATTCGTAATCCTTGTATTACCTCTGAATGAACCATATGTAATTTATCTCTCAAGTTACGTGACACAATAGGTACACGGCTGTCCTTTTTCTTCAACTGTCAGAAAAATACAAGAAAGCTAAGTTTCACAGGCTGAACCTGTTCTGCACATCAGATCTTTTAAGTTAACAAGTTGAAGCAGGTTTATCACCCACTGTTCCTGTCTACTGTGGGTTTTTCTCTTAAGTAATGGCGGGAATCCAGTAAAATGATTTTGAAAGTGACTGACATAGCATTTACGCTTCTGTGCCTTTTGAATTCACAGGAAATGAATTGGTCCATACTGCTGCGTAACATTTGATGTGACTGTGACCTTGGCATAGGAGTGTTATGGATGGCTTATTATCCGTTAAATTCATTTTGGTTTTTCCATTGTGCATCCCATATTTATGAAGACTTTTAATATGTCAACATGCATATGTATTTAAATATGCCATTTAAAATTTAAAACATGTCATTACTTTCGAACATATGCTCTCATGGTTTAGACCAGTACGCAATCATTCATAACAATAACATATCAATCAAGTAGAAACGCCTTGGCAGCCTCTAAAAAAAACCTTAGTAAACACCTAGAATTGCTCAGGCAATCACTCAGAACATCCTAACAATTACATAGAAACTATCACTATAAGTTGTGAAAAAGAACTCAATGGTGTGCTCGTGCTGACTGACACGGGCCTAAAGTGTGTGCACAGAAAGCTGGATCTTTCAGAATGGGATTGTGAATTCTGTTCTCTTTCACGTCTTATTGCACTTGAATGGTCGATTACACCATTCAATGTGTGTCAAAATGCCCATTGTGTGGTGCATTCATGTAAACATTTGGGTGTAAATCGCATGTGAATCAGTATAATGGATCCGTGCATTCACTCTTAAAAGACATGTTCGGTATTTTACAATTAAAGTCCTGTTTTAAGATTGTTTCTGATGAAATAGAATGGTTAAGATTTTTTTTTAGACAGATGCTGCTGTCCCGAGAATTTTCAGGTTCTGTGGTTGCAAAAGATGCTTTCCAACAGGTTTTATCGTAGTTTTTGTACAACACCATTGACTTATATTGTATGTTCTGTGATGCACGGTATTACTCCGGCGCCGGAAACGGAAATGGGGTTGTTTGTATTCTTTCTGTAGTGTTATGCAGTCGCGGTATCGTAGGCTACACTATTCAGGTGGTTTGATAGCAATTGGCAAAGGTACATTATCGCCACCAACTGGGCTGGAGTATCTATTTTTCAAGCTCTCAACGGAAGAATGTTGGAAACGCCTGTTGGAAAGCATCTTTTGCAGCGATTTTTGTTTGGGCATATCAGTGCATAACACCCCAGACCACTCGGTGAGTTTCACGTCTTTGTAAACTAAAGTTTTATGAAGGATTGTTCCTGTGCACCTATACTACCATTGTAGAGGTGTGGGGGTGCAACCACAGAATTCGAAAATTCGACCGCAGCATTTGTCTAAAAAACAATCTTAACCATTCTATTTCATCAGAAACGATCTTAAAACAGGGCTTTAATTGTAAAATACCGAACTTGTCCTTTAAAGGGAAAGCAGCCTAATAAAACTGCGTCTCTGTTTCATTATTGTTTATTAAACAAAAGGGAAAATGATTTGCTGCTCTTGACTGAATAACTTTTGTAGCTTTAATAAGAATAAAGTTATATAGAATTAATACATTGAAACCTAGGCACCATTTTATTTTTACATTTTATTATTCAATTTCTGAAATGCATGTTAAATAGACCTATAGTACCTGGAAAATGTAATTGGTTCTATTTTTTGAGGGTCATATTTTTGTTATATTATAATTGTTCATTTATTTTGTAATTTGCTTTTTTGCTAATTTCTAATAATGAGAAAACAAAACTATTGTTGTGATGCATATCGTTATCATGAAATATAATTTCTCATACCTTGAAATAAAGTATTTGGTCATATCACCCATCCTTATTAGAAACTCTTAGGCAACCACTCACAACTGCTTAGAAATCATAACCCATATCAATCACATAGGAATGACCTGGCAATCACTCATAAGACCCTAACAACCATATGGAAATGCCCTGAAAACAACTCAACACATTTTAATGCCCTGGCAACCACCATTAACGCCCTGGCTTTGTAGCTGTGAGTTTTGCAAAGACAAGCATGGTGCAGTGGCTGTTGGCGAATTTACGGCACAGCAGATCACACTGCAATCTTCCAATCTTGCAGCAATCAGATCTAGAGCGAAGCCCATGATGCAGTGTCCTGTGCTTTAGCCTGTGTTTATGGATGCACTAACAATATTTGTTTGATAAGGTGATTAATTATTGATTGTTAGTGCTGTCACATGCTTTATTGTGCGGGCATATTGGCGGACGGACTGCACTGCGGTGTGTGTGTGTTGATGTTGATGACACAGCAGTGTCTGGGGTTGGGCAGCTCTGGTTGTGGCTTCTGCCGATTGATGGCCGGCCGCCCAGCGCTCCGTCCAGCCGATCGCACCCCACCTCCCCTCTTAGACGTCTTCGCTGGCAAACTTGCCACCCAAGCGCTTTTCTCCTGTTTCCTCACGTCATCCTACTCTCTTCCTCCCCCTTTTCCTCTTCTTTGTCTGCATCTGCCACCCTTCCGCCAGCCCTCTCTCCTTACACGGGGAGCAGTCACTAGGCAGCAAGGTCAGACTCTGCCTGTCTCTCCTTTCCATTCCCTCTCAGTCTATCTCGCTGTGTCCTGTCAATAGACCCCCTCCCCCTCACCCCGTCTGCACTGTCTGTGTCCCTGTGACCGGCTGATCTCTCTTTCGGTTTTCTGAGCTGTATGACAAGTCATTTTTACCCCAGGGGCTGGGGTTCTGATGCACCCAGTGACCGCTTTTCCATCTAAAATTGGGTCCCATTAAACATTGGATGCGATTTCACCCTTGAGTTCACCCAAATGGCCTTATATTTAGAACATTGTTCTGTATATTCAGTGACATCACTTTGCAGTTGCTTAAAGTGTATGATGAAATACATTTTTAAAAATGACCACAAAGTGAGCTGTTGAATAATTGTGCCATTATAATGTAGTTTAATATGAGTAGGTTGATGCTTTGACAGATTTTTTTTTTCAGTGTTGCCAAGTTAACGCAACATAACTATATTAACATAACTATATACAAAATTACATCTAAACGTATGAAAGTTTCGTTTCAAAGACGTAAGGACTGTAAATTGTGAAGACTCTGCCATAATCCCGTTTTCCTCCACTTTAATCTCCCCAACCAGAAACTTGAAGAGCGTCCTTGTGTCAAATGCGGAACTTATGCGTGCATATAGCCCATTGACCAATACAATTTTGGTCTTCTTGTTGACTAACGTTTATTTGACTATTAGGGGGCTGCCGTAATGAAACTTGGACTTGACAAAATAGTTGTCAAACGGGCAATTCTGCCTTCAACCAGTAAATATCTCTGGCAACTGCATAGTAACTCCCTGGCAATAACCCAGAACATTCTAGCATAGTGGTGCTATTTTTCAAAAAAATGAGTGACATTTACTTCCGTAAAAATCTAGTACTGGGGCCCGTTTCAGAAAGGAGGTTAAGTGAAAACTCTGAGTATGTTAACCCTGAAATGAGGGAAACTCTGGGTTTTCCGTTTCAGAAAGGGGGGTATATCAAACCCGAGAAAGCAGAGTAAGTCAAGCCCGTTTCTGAAAGAGAGGTAAATTATACTCAGTCAGTTACCATGGTAACTTACTCTGTGAACCTAACCTGGTCGGGAGCAGGTTTTCTTCTGTAAACCCAGAGTTTCTTGCGGTCTCCTCCCCTTTTTTAAAGAGGAAGTGCTGTTTAAACACTAACAATAAAATTTATTTACACATTTTTTAAGGAATATATTGTTTGTCCATGTTTTAATTGACTAAATCTGTTTTGCAGCACTTTGCCAAAAAGTAAAAGGATTAAAACGTTTGCTAAACTTTTATTTGATTACCACCATTTTTTATAATATATTTCTATTAAATCATTAAAAAAATTGGAATAAAAAACATTTAATAGAACTCAATTGTTTTTTAAACATAATTTAATAAGTTATTAATGATAAAAATAAGACGTTAATCTTATTCATAATCAATTATTGAAGTTAGTTGATTACATATGTTTTATTGAACAAATGTTTAATTTATTTAACTCATTTTCATTTTTAACTGATGATAATAATAATAACCGTAATTTAATAATGCAGTTTATATATTTAATAATTGTTTAATACCATAAACCGTGATATTTTCTGAGACGGTTCTTATACTGTGAAACTCTCATACCCCACATGGGGGAGTCCCGCACCCCACCCCCACTGTTAAACAAGTTACTCAGCAACTTTTACTGTTTTAAATTAACTACTTTTTACTTTTTAGATTTTTAGACTGGTATTTTTACTTAAGTAAAAATGTATCAAAGTAATAGTAGCCTACTTTAAGTTGAATAACATTCTTCCAGTTTCACCTCTGATATTATAACAGTAAGTTACTGTAAAATAGTCATGAATTATTAACTACAAATGACATCTTAAACGGTGTAGTTAGATTAATGTAATAATTACTATCTCTAGAAAGTATTGGTCTACATATTACTGAATCCTATATCAACCTCAACTACTTGATTAACACAAAGAGAAGAGACAAGAAACAGCACTTTTAATTCTTTCAAATTAACAATATACAATTGCATGAATTATTCTTGAATTGATCAAAGTGTGTAGAGGGAGAAGGTTACATAAAACATATAACTTTTAAAAATGTATGTTAAATGCACTATTGTTTTATTACTGAATTGGTCTATAGTTTATGCAGTAGCTTTTTTAATGTAATTGCATCATATTTTATTTTAAATTACAGAAGAATTAAGAGTAACCCCCTTAATTAAATTACAATATTTAGATCACTTGTTAATTAATTACACCTAACACCTCTTTTTGTCTGGCGCTGTTGCCATGGTGACTCATAATATCTGCGCTCCATTGATAATGGCTTTTTATAGTTGTGGTGCACGCGCTTAACTCAGAGTCAGTCAACTCAGAGTTGATTGAACTAACTCATTTCAGCTGTTCTGTAACCGAAAACTCAGAGTTTCCCATCTCAGGGTAAGTCAACTCAGAGTTCAAGCTTTAACTCAGAGTTGGTTGAACCTCCTTATTGAAACGGGCCCCTGGTCTTCAGTTTTTGTGCGTGTATAATGATTTGGTATGCATAAGTAATTTGTTTTTCTCTTCTGTGTTTACAGTCAGGACTATCAGCATGGCATATTCCAGTCTATTGGCTTTAAAGAGTTTCACGAGTACCTGACCGCTAGTGAGAACCTCAGTCAGGAAGAACTTGATAAACTGAAAATTAAAGGTAAGCATTTATTCACTCTGTCATTTTGTTTTTAGCTTGAATGTCTTCATTCTTTTGTTGTAAACCAAACATCTCTCAGTTCAGGCCTTGGGAATGAACATAGAGTGAGATTGTTGATGTTCGGTTCAGAACAGTTTTGAAACCGTTCCTGACTTCACACAAAAGAGAGAGAAACAATCTTAGACATTCATTCTGAAAGCATTCTCATGCTTTTCCGAGCAGTTTTATTTTAAACAGTCAAACCGGTCCTTAAACAAACTCGGCACATTTGAAGCAAAAACACTTTGTCCAACACTAATTAAAATACGTTTTCATTGTAATACAAAATTATCATTACCGCCTTCAGACAAGTATATTGTACATGTTTATGATTAATTGCTTGTGATTAATTACTTTTTGTCACGGTAATGATTAATTAGGTGTCTTGACACGTGTACACAAACCAACAATAAAAAAGTGCACACAGGAAGTCTACTTCATGCATTATAAATTGTGTCGCTGTGGACGGGACAACAGCATATTGACATTGAAAGACACTTTATGTAACGTCTTAAATTATTTATTCATTTGTGAACATTTCTCTTCAAATATGTGATGTAACCAGCATATCTAATTCTGTTAAAACTGGTAATCGATTGACAGCTCTGTTATAAAGCAAACCAGTATTTGTCTTCTGAATTTTCAGCTTTGAGAATTGTTCTGGTGTTTGTGTCGGACCATATCTCTGAAACATTTAGCATTTAAGAGTGAACGCTCAGTCTGTCATCAGCTGCTGAGGGGCTGTAGAGGAAGACGTCAAGCTTTTTGTCATCCTCTCTCTCTTTCTTTCTCTCTCTCTCTCCCTCTCTCTCTCTCTCCCCGTCAGTCGGATTGGTGTCAAAATCAATTACTTATTCGTTGCTCATGTCTGTTGAGAGCTCATGATTGTTTCGCTTGTTTAGTGCTCAGCATTAGTGACTTTTCAGTTTGCCATGAAGAAGAAAATACTGCTCTCTGATTGAGTTCGTGTTGCTCTCATGTTGATATGATGGATTGTGAATTGCATTCTAGTTTTGTGGGGATACCACTGCCAGTGAGGTGAATACACAAATGTTAGTATGTACATTGAATCAACATAGAAAATGAAATTGTTCTAGAAAGTCATGTATTATTTTTTTCTTACGGTAGTACCACAGCTTTGATTGATTGTTTGGACTCATAAATGGTGACAAATTATGTCAGGCTACACTATTGTTCTAATGTTGTGTTGTGCTATTTTTATTCACCAAGAAGCATTAAATTGATCCGAAGTCACAGGCATATATATATATATATATATATATATATGTATATGTATATGTAATTCAAATAAATATTGTAAAAAAAATATATATATTTTTTTACTTTCTATTCATCAGAGAATCAAAAATATTGCAAATGTTTTCAACATTGATAATAAATAAGAAATATTTCTTGAGCATCAAAATCTAATATTCTGCTTTTGATGCTAAAGAAACATTTCTTATTATTATAATGATTTTAATATAATAATTATAGTAATTTAATACTATAATTTAATGGTAGTGTATCTGAAAAACAGTATTCAACATTGATAATAATAAATGTTTCTTGTGCAGCAAATCGGAATATTAAAATGGTTTCTGAAGGATAATATTGCTGTTAAAATCTGGAGTAATGCCTGCTCAAAATGCAGCCTTTCACAGGAGTAAATTTATTAACTTAGTAACTTATTTTGAATTTTAGTCAAAATTCACAAAATTATTTTATTTGTATTTTTATTGTATCTTTGATCAAATACATCCAGCCTTAATGAGCATAAATGAATTCTTTCAAAAACGTTAAAAAAATATCACATAACAAACCATTGAACGTTAGTGTATGATCATGTTAATGTTCTGTGTGCTTCAAACTGAAAGCAAAGAGCTCAGTTCTGTTGTCAACTGCACATACTTCAAGCACACTGGGGGCTCATGATGCAATATTTTCTGAGGTTTTTGTGCCACGGGTTACTGTAAAATTTAACATAACATGACACCAGAGTTTTGTAGACGGAGGTTATTTAATTTGGAATGAGGAGCACACTAAAAATCGCACACAAATTGAGATCACTCTCAAACGAATAGAGGGTTAGCTGGACCACCTAGCAGTACTTCATGAATTTTTTTTTTTTTTTTTGTAAGATATTAATATTGCATTATAAAACTCCAGTTGTTATTTTAATAGTAATTCACATGTAATCTAATATTCAGTGGGTGTGTGTGTGTTCTGTGTATATATATATATTTATTTTTAAAAATCCATGTTACATTGATACAAAAAGAGTTCGCTATCCACTTTCAATTTGAAATACAATGTAAATGCAATGTGAACTCGATAGTCTTCTCCTTGTTAACATCAATGTGGATACCCCTTTGACAGAGCATATAGCGGTGATGTGCATTGCATGTTCATTATTGTGATGCATCATATTACTGTATTAAAACAATTTATCTACTTTTTTGGATATATATATATATATATATATATATATACATATACATATACATATACATGTTATGGCTTTTTATATATATATTTATATAAGCAGCAGCACACTTTTAAAGGGATAGTTCATTGAAAATCACTGAATAATCTATTTACACTCATGCCATTCCAGACAAATCTTTTACAAATCAAAAATTACAAAAAAAACATTACAAAATATGAAGCTTAACTGTGTTTGCTTGATGTCTGAAAACAAACCTATACGCTTCTGGTGTGTCAAGCAAGCACATTTTGAGCATTTTAAATTTTTTGATGTGCTCCATGTATGTGCATTGATCAATGTTGATATGTGTAAAAAATCCTAAAATGAATCTGTTCATCATATGAAATTGATCATGTGTCTTCAGAAAGACAACTTTTTGTCATTTTTGACGCATGAGACTTTTGTTAGCCTGGACTTTCAAATAGATGAAAACGGATATTAAAAAAAATGTCTTTTCATTTGTCTTCGAAAGATTCTTGATTGTTTGGAATGACATGAGGGTGAGTAAATGATCACATATTAGAATTTTGGGGTAACCCATCCCTTTAAATATAACATTACAAATGCTAATATTTGTCGAAAGAATAAATAATTTCGGCTAAATTGTGTAGCCTTAACACAGACAGCCCAATATACTGTGGCACCAGTGGTAAGAGGATATACTGAAGAGGAAGTGATTTGAGAGGGGGTGGGGTGGCTGAGATTTTTAATGCAACTGCCCCTTTCTCTTCTCCTTGTCCTCTATGCTTTGCTATTAATCACTTTAAATTGTTTTGGTCAACCTATTGCACATTACCTTTTTATTTATTTGTATTTTTTATGTGTTTTCTCCCACTAACATCTCTTGCAGTACTTGATCTGGCCAAGATCTTATATTGATCTTGTTATTTGTTTCTCTCACAGGGGTCGAGTCTCTCAAGCAGGCGACTCGCCGCTATGCCCGAAAACAGAACAAATGGGTCCGCAACCGATTCCTCAAGAGTAAGTCTCGCTGAATACACTTTTTCCTTGGTGCTCTGCAGTGTTCAAATTCCAAAGGCAGCTTATCTGATGCCCATAACCCAAACCACAGATTGTTCTAGCCATATTTTCCCTGGAATAAATTCATGGACGACATTGCATGAAAGTTCCACCCCCCTTTAACGTGAGTTTGTTGTTCTCCCCTTTCCATCTTCTCTCTTGTTTGAGGGTTTAATTGTCTGTGAGGTACAGTCTCTGCTGCTAGATGCTCCATAACACTGCAGCTGTGTTAGTTCAGAGTGCATTTCAGCCACTGGCTTCAATTTTGATCACAAGGGAAGTGCATCCACCATTAGTGTTAAATTCACTCATCTCAATTCTGAATTTATTGCTGGTCATTAAATATTGGCTTCACTTGTGGCTTGTCTGTTGTATATCGGTCGTCCCCAGAGGTTACTGTAGCTGTGTGTCTCTTTTTCGTTTTCTTTCAGTACGGTCTAATGGTCAGGTAATCACAGCTGGTTTTAACGAGATGGACTTCACACAGACCATTAAACACACAAACAGTCATAGAGAAATCCTGTGTATGTGTTTGAAGGCTACCCCTCCCTCACAGACAGCCTCAAAATTCCAAGGCTCAGGGTTCAGTATTGACTGGCCTTGGGTTGATAAAAGATCAAATGCTTGTAAAGTTTGGGTGTTTCAAGACACGGTCCGTCTGAACAGTTTGTACTGTTACTACCTAACAGACAACAGCCGAATCGGCAAGCTCTTTGGTGGTTAAACAGCTGTGTGTGTATGTTTGTGCTGGTGACATCAGCGTGTGAAGTTTATCTAGAGAAAGGAGGTAAAGGATACTTCATAACAGTGGAGTGTGTAGAAGGCAAGGCAAGTTTATTTATATAGCACATTTCATACACAATGGCAATTCAAAGTGCTTTACATAGAAGAAATTAAAATGATCCAAAAAAGAAATCAGAATAATTAAAACAGTTTAGAATAAAAAATAAGAAATAATCAAAAAATAAAAATTATGATAAAAATAAAATACAGTAAATTAAAGCCATTTAGAATAAAATGAAGTGCAGTAACAGTCGGACGAACAGTGGCACAGTGCTCATTCAGTAAATGCACAGCTAAACAGATGTGTTTTGAGTCTGGATTTGAATGTGACTACTTTAGGAGCACACCTGATCTCTTCTGGAAGCTGGTTCCAGCTGCGGCTGGCATAATAGCTAAAAGCAGACTCTCCATGCTTAGAGTGAACCCTTGGTATTTCTAGCTGATGTGATCCTAATGATCTGAGTGATCTGTTGGGTTTATATTCAGTTAGCATATCTGCAATATATTGAGGTCCTAACCCATCAAATCATTTATATACCAGTAATAATACTTTAAAATCAATCCTAAATGTAACTGGCAGCCAGTGTAAAGACCTGAGGACTGGTGTGATGTGTTCGTATTTTCTGGTCCTGCTCAGAATCCTGGCAGCAGCGTTCTGTATGAGCTGCAACTGTCTTATGGTCTTTTTGGGAAGCCCAGTGAGGAGGCCATTACAGTAATCCACCCTGCTGGTGATGAAAGCATGCACAAGTTTCTCTAAGTCTTGACTGGAAACGAAGCATCTAATTCTTGAAATATTTTTCAGATGATAGTATGCTGATTTAGTTATTGTTTTGACATGACCATTGAAACTAAGGTCTGACTCTAGAGACACACCAAGATTCCTGGCTTGATTTTTAGTTGTTAGACCCCTAGTGTCGAGGTATGCATTCACCTTGAGAACTTCATCTTTGTTTCCAAACGCAATAACTTCAGTTTTGTCTTTGTTTAACTGCAGAAAGTTTTGACACATCCAACCGTTTACTTCATCAATGCATTTGCACAGGGAGTCAATGGGGCTGTAGTCGTTAGGCGATAGGGCTAAGTAGAGCTGTGTGTCGTCTGCATAGCTATGGTAAGCGATTTGGTTCTTTGTCATTATTTGGCTCATTGGGAGCATATACAGGTTGAATAGGAGTGGCGCAAGAATCGAGCCCTGAGGGACTCCGCAAGTCATGGATGTCCACTCAGACTTATGTTCTCCCATACTCACAAAATAACCTCTCCCTTCTAAGTATGACCTGAACCATTTTAGGACTATCCCAGAAAGCCCCACCCAGTTTTCCAGCCTGTCAAGAAGTATGTCGTGATCAACAGTGTCAAATGCAGCACTGAGGTCGAGTAGTACCAACACGGATAATTTGCCTGTATCAGTATTTAAGCGAATCTCTGTGATGCGATCGGAAACCAGATTGAAAATTGTCAAAATATCCATTTGAGCTTAAATTTGTTCAGCTGATTGAAGACAACCTTTTCAATGATCTTGCCTATGAAAGGAAGATTTGAGATTGGTCTAGAAGTGAAATAATGTTAGTTTGTTGCATGACAAAAGCTATAAAGTTAAAAGTAATGTGTGCATGTGCGTGGCACAGGACACGTTCACACAGGACGTCTATCTTGTGTACAGAAAAGCTACAAAGAGTGGGACCAAACTAATGTCTTAGATTTACCTTTACCCTGGAAGTCCTTGGCCTTCACCACCTCTACCATTCTTCCCAACAATATATGGGCATTCCCTTTGGATTCTGACCCCTGTTTCTGAAGATCCTGGCCTGGATTACCCCTTGCTCCCCATTACTGTGGAGACTACCAGCAATCCTGTTAGCCATAATGAGATTAGGCAGAGACAGTGGCTAGCCCTTATTAAGGGTAGTTTTGTATCCCACCATTTGCGGCTGAACCCTACACACGAGGGCAACTGGCATTAGGTCAAATGTCTGGGAATGTGGCCTTCCTCTATGACCGTTGTGTCCTGACTTTAGTTACTGAAGAATCTTCTCCTGAGTTCTGCAAGAAGGAGCCTTTTGGTCATGTTCTTATAAAGTATTTTGCTTCACCAGATGGTTCCTGGTGCTTTGACCAATGATCAGTCCTGCAGCGTAGCAAGTTTCTACTCTTTCCATGCAGTATACAACACTACAACAATGATTTTAGTTTTCTAAGAAGCATCTAAACTTTTGGGTCTAAACTTGTTGCCTTACTTCAAGTTCACCAGGCCAGTAGGTCTCAAGTCATCGCAACTAAACCCCCTGCATCCATCCCCACCTCTCTCCCACCCTTTGCTGGACTCTGACCTGATTGTAGTCTGGTTAAGCTCCTGTGGCTGCCTGTCAGTATACTGATCCCTCCCTCCACACCCCACGCATCCTAGTGCCTCATGGGGCCCTCAGCTGACCGGTCTAATCCAGCAAGCATTAGAGTACTGATAGGAATTTAGAACGGTGGCAGGAGGTTGGAGTTTATAGGGAGGCCTCTTGGGGATAAGAACTGTGGGTTCATTGAGGGCAAACTTGCATTCATTGTCCTCCTGGCCTCTATGGGGCGATCAACATCTCCTCTTTCCTTTTTCAGTCAGCGGCTTTGCTTATAAATTGAAACACACTCTGAGCTGATATAAATAAGCCGGTTCGATATATTGGTCTTGTTGCCCCAAGCTGACAGCTGTGAATGGAGCATCACCTTCAGAGCAATCAAAAATTGTTTGGAAGAAAACTTCTTGTTATGTCGCCCTTGTTAAAATCAATTAATTTGCAGCTAATAGTCAGTGTGCTACCTTCTTGAGTTTTGCTGTGTTTGAACCCTACTATTGACAGCTGAATTCGGGATTAGGGTGAACCTGAGCTCCGTTTCCGCTTCCCTAGGGGAGGAGAGTAGCTTGGGGGGTAACCGTGACAACAGTTCAGTCGACAGCTCAGGGAGGCAATGTGAGCACTAAGTAACAGTCTCTTGCCTTTTGTCAACGATAGGGGAAACCTGAGTGAGATGCGCGACAGGTGCAACATAGAAAAGTGTCCCCTTACACACAGATACACACCTCAGGACACGCCTCACACTTTGCACTCACAGTGCATTCCCGCAAGAATACGGATGCCAACCGCTTGCATATGGACCTTTGTCCATAGGTGTTTATACATGAACGTGTGTTGATGAGTTTGTGAATGGCATATGAGGGAAGATTTTGCTGAAGATGGCCACATTATGTATAAGCAAATGTAAACTAAATTAAGGTATTGAAAGGAGTTAAAAACAGCTGTTGAGGTGTTGACCTGGTGTTCACAAACTACAGCTGGATGTCTGATGATTAGTCCCCACAGCCGGTGTCCTGTGCTGACATCCATATCCACTCCTTCGGGTTTTTTTTATTGACCTAGGCTCTCTTATCACACAAACAGCAGCAGGTGCGATGACTGCTCAGTGTGTTTCCTGGTGCCCATGTCTTTGGAGACTCTGGAAAAGATCTGCCAGTTGGTGAGCGAGGGGTCTTTTCACATCTCAAAAGGCAGCAGCCGCACGGCTGTCTGCCGTGGGTGTACTTCAGAGGTGGTGCAGCTCATTTAAATGAGGTGTGCCCATTTAGGCAGATATTTGAGATCTCTGTGGTTAGAAACCCTTGTTCTCTCGTCTTTTCCACCATTCAGGTCTGGCAAGATTACTTGACTTAGATTTCACTGAGATTTGAATTTTGGGTGGGGGAAAGCCCTCCGTTCAGCATCTGTTTACCCCCAGATGGCCATCGTTGACCCGTTCCCTCTAATTTCTATACCCCAGAGAGAGGTACAAAAAAAGTCCTCCACTCCCCACATGGCTCAGGTAGACCAGGTGTCTCTGTGCAGGCCCACCTGCTGCCGCTCTTTTCTGATAAGCACAAAAGCGGACAAAGACTGCAGAACTGTCTTTGATTAGGAGCGACGGCTAGCAAGATGCAACAAGGTTTAGTTTGAGGTAAAGAGATGCTTTACATCAGCTAAGTGGGACGCTGGGTCTCTTGTGTGCAGGAACACCTGTGCAATTGGTGCCAATGCAAAAGCTTTCTAAGACAATGTTAACATAATGAATAATTTCAGGTTTGCTGAGAGATCTTTGCCTAGTGTGATAAATTAATGGATTTTATATTTTGATTTTAAATTTCAAAACGCAACAGTCTATTTAATAGTGTATATGCTAATTTTAAACAATTTTCAATAAATGTATCAAATTTGACAGCAGGTATTAGATATTGAATTGTATTTTTTTCAATCATCATTGTAATACATTTCATGAAATAATACTTCCTAGACGATCATAAAATGCTTTTAATGATTAAAACAAATGACGTCAGTTTATAACCTGGGTTTTTATTTTGGTAGCACTGCAACTCAATTTTATATTTTGATAAAGGTTTTGTTAAAAATAAAATTAATCAGTTGAAATTGATGGAATACATTATTTTTGTATTTCAATAATTCAATTATTATTATTGTAATAATTTTTTTAATTAATACATTTTACTATCTGATAACCATTTTAGGTGTTTAAATGCCTATATTCTGGGTGCTGCTGTTGTTGTTCTGGATTATGTAATACTTATTGGTGTCATCTAGATAAGGAACTAGACTGCATTTGAAGGCATTCCAGTGGTTGGCCAAGGGTTAAATTAGAAACACTCTGTTCCTTTTTGCCAGACGTGGAGTAACCGTTTGACAAAGAATTTGATTCTCTTTAACTACGGTTACAAACAATGTTCAGTGGTTATGTACTTTGAATTTTATGCAAATTATTGTGGTTTTTTTTTTTGCATAGTCTTTTTTTGAACTAATAGCTTTTTTTGGTTTAAAGAAGTGTTTAAGGACATTTTTCTCTTTGTTACAGTTCAGCACTTGAGTAACATTTGCCTCAGGCAAACAGATTTAAGGGTTGGTGATATTGTCAGCAGTGTCCTTGTGAAGTGGTGGCTCCTCTAAAGTCTGTTACTTTAAAAAAAAGAGGGCTTTCACATCAGAAATGTGTTGGTTTCAGGTCAGATTTTTTTTCTTTATCACAAAAAGCTCAAATATTTTTGTGCAATTCAGCAATTATAATTAATAAACAGGCTGCACATCTTGAGAGCTCTTGCATATTCATGTTAGTAACACTGAAAAGCATTACCTTAAAGAAAAACAAACATTAAGTATAGGATGCCAAGCCATTTCAAAGTAGTTTGACAGTTCAACTAGACAGTGTTTGAAAATAGAGCCAGAAAGATGCCTCTTTAAAACTGTTTATCACAGCAGGAAAATTGTGACTGCTTATGTCCACATCATGATTTAATTATGCCATTTATTATTATTTGTAGTTGTTGAAATAAACATTAAGATTAACCAATGCTGTAGAAGTAAATTTGAGTATAAAGAATACTATTAACTAATATGGGTCTACCTTTACATGCACATGAACTTTAATGACATCCCATTCTTAATCGTTAGGGTTTTACATGAATTTGGTCCACCCTTTGCAGTTATAACAGCTTCAGCTCTTCTGGGAAGGCTTTCCACAATATTTAGGTGTGTGTTTATGGGAATTTTTAACCGTTCTCCTTGAAGCGCATTTGTGAAGTCTGGTACTGATGTTGGATGTGCAAACTGTTCCCACAAAGTTGGGAGCATGAAATTGTCCAAAAAGTATATGCTTGAGTATATTAAGAGTTCATTTCACTGGAACTAAAGGACCACGCCCAACCCCTGAAAAACAACCCCACACCATAATCCCCCCTCGACCAAACTTTACACTTCGCACAATGTAGTCAGGGAAGCACCGTTCTCCTGGGAACCACCAAACCCAGACTCGTCCATTGGATTGCCAGACAGAGAAGTGAGATTTGTGACTCCAAAGAACACGTAGAAGTCCACTGTTCTAGAGTCCAGTGGTGGAGTGCTTTACGCCACTGCATCCAGCGCTTTGCATTGCTCTTGGTGATGTAAGGCTTGGATGCAGCTGCTCGGCCAGGGAAACCCATTCCATGAATCTCTGTACGTATGTATATATATATATATATATAATACTGAATATATATATATATATATATATATATATATATATATATTCAGTATTAATCCAAACAGATTGATAGTCTCTAGTACTGGCTTAAAATGCTATGGTCACAGTTGTGTGTGATATTACTAGACAGCCAAGAGAAAGGAGATGTGAACTAATGGAACTTTTTTTTATATATAAATACTTTCCTATATCATTTCTTTCCCATTTTAAGCAGTTTAACCTGTAATTGATGTAGATAATGTGTCTATTATGTTTAATAAGGGAGGTGGGAGGATTTGAGTAAAGCATGACAGCAGGTCATGGCCTCTCATTTTAAGACAAAGATGAGTTTTTCATTGCTTGCTGACAGATTTTTAAAATTAGAGTGTCTCTGTGTTCCAGGCTGCCAAGTGTGATTTTTACCACTTGCAATGTATGATTTTATCTCAAAGGCATGTGTTTTTTTTTTTTTTCATCTCAAAGTGAAAAGTTTCAGAAAGCCTGTTTTTTAAGTTCTAAGCTCCATGTTTCTCATTAAGCCAAGCATTAGGTTGGGTTATTTGTACAGGCCACAACCCTATATAACTTCAGGACCTAACTTGTCCCACACCTTTTGCTCTGTAGACATGAATGATGTCTCAGATCATGAGAAGAAATGTGCTATAATAATACCTGGGGACCAGAATAACACACCCTGTAACACCATCGTTTTTTTTTTTTTTGTGTGACCAGAACACCCGTGTGTATGTTTTTACTCTGCATGTGTTTAATGTATGGTCCTCTCATTATCTGTGCACGTCTGCTGTATTGTGCATGGATCAATAGCGTTGAGGGAGGCAGAGTGAGGTCGTCTCTGCAGACTGTGTCAGAATCCTGTTGGAGATTATCGAGCAGCAGTGATTCAGCAGATTCAGGCTGCTGCAGGCCCTCCCTGCATCACTCCATACTGAATACGCCATCCTCTTGTCCTTGACATTTTTAATAGTATAATTGAAAATTGTTAAATCAAATTTGACTTAGTCTATCGGCTGCAAGTTCTCATTTACTTTTGAGTGCAACGCCCACCTCTCAAAACTGGATTGAACCAAGACCTCCCCACCCCCCTACCCCCCAAAGAAAAGATCGTCAACTCCTTCCGTTTCATCGTAAAAGGATATTGACTAAATTCACTTAGAATAAAATAAATTTTGGCAGATATCGACTTTGCAGTCTTTCTCTTCCAGGAAAATGGACCAAAAATAATAAAGATCAGTATGTTGCACTGAACAGATGTTTTGGACAATCATAATGAGCCTATACCTAATTAGCAAGTAGCAAATTGTGGTCATTGTTTTTCCCAGTGGACTCAAGCTGAAAGTTAAGGAAAGTAATTTAATCATTAGCCTAAGGTGTAACGTTAACTGAGTTCACTGTGTTCACACAATTACATTGCACCATAATTATTCTGCAAGTTTAATCAAAATGCATTTCATCTTTTGTCATTTATCTTCAAAATCTTCAGGACCTTCTAGCAATGTGCCTCCTGTTTACGGTCTGGATGTGACAGATGTGACCAATTGGGAGACTACTGTACTTACTCCTGCTGTAGAGATCCTGGACTGCCTCCAAAAGGTTTGACTCGTTTCCTTTCTTGTTTAGTTGACAAATAATGTCTCCGTTTACACCCCTCTGAACATGATTTGTCTTGTGAACCCAGCCGTGGAGGTTCTGCATAATCGTTTTGTTGCTTGTTTCCTCTCACTGATTTTTGGATGTTTATTTTTTACATCCTTTATAGAGTGGAGACTAACAAAAGTGCTGTTTTTAATAACATTCAGTCATTAGATATCATCATTTCTAAAGATTTTTTTAGGCCAATTACTAATCCCCATTAACAGCACATCTACTTTTGAAACTATTCCAGGGAGAGCAGCCATCCACACAGCCAATCAGAGCTGAGGGGGTGGAGTCTCGCAACAAACGGAGTCACCACATGTGTGATCTGTGCGAAAAGGTGATCATCGGCGACTTGGAATGGACGGGTAAGTTTCTGCAAACTAGAAAACCAGTGCATTCTCAAACATCTTACAACAAGACTATTGATGCTAATATTTGAACTGTCCTGACCTCCAGCACACCAGAAGTCCAAAAACCATCTTTATCAAGTCCGCAAGAGGAGAAAAGCCGAGCAAGCCTCAGATCAGGACGCAAACCCTACCGAACATAAAAATGTCATTGACAGGCAGGTACCTGTACTATAGCACCCACCTCAAGGCGCTGATGGGGCTTATTGGGGTCAAGCTCACATATGGACCAAAGAAATGAAGGGCTCGTAATGTCTTTTTCAGATCAATATAAGAATGTGCTTTTAGATTCGTTGGTTTGCAGTGATACCTCAACTTTCCCTTTGGAGTAGCAGAACACACTTCAGGGTCTATGATGTTTAGACACATGGATTGATGGTTTTTCCCATCTGCCAAAGACCAGGGGTTACTACTAATGTCTGGATTTGGATACTTCCACTGGACAGATGTCTTCCCCGCTGCTGTTTTGTCTGAGTGGTGCACTTTTTAACCACATCTAACCACGACTGGTGCTCTTAAACCACACTGTGGTGAGCTGTTCTAACCTCTTTGGCTGTTCTGACTGAACTCAAATTTCATCACTGCTGATGTTGGATTACTGGATCACATTTTCGCCTGCTGATCAAGAACGGAGGTTATTTTTTCATTATTAAATCTGATGCTTGACTTTTATTTGGAAGTCTTTATATTATATTTATATAATCGTCTGATCGGATAAGCTTACGTGGACGTCCTTTCCTTAGGATTCTTAGTGCCTTTGCTTTTTCTACGACTCATGCCTTTCCAAACCCGTTCATTCTTTCGTGGAACACAAAACGAGACATTTTGAGGAATGTAAACACAGCTCTTATCCATACAATGAATAAATGACATAATCCGGCACCAGAAAACTTGGAATATAGCCTGAGTAGTATGGGTTACCTTTTTATGTTTTCTTTTGGAGATTGTATGGAAAAGAGCAGCATGAACATTATTCAAAATATATTCTTAATCCTCAGTTCGCATTTTAAGACTCCGCTGCATTTGCCTTTTGGTTTAAGTGTTTTTATTTCAAGATTTTTACCGAATGATCTTTAACTGCAGTGCATAAATTATGTAAACGTCATTAAAGTGATTTTTTTTTAAATATAATTTAAATGACTCACCTGAACAAATTTGTGTTTTTCTAATCAAATGAGTCGGAAAACTTTTAGCATGAAATCATCAGGGTTGCTTGGGCGATGAGCCACCAATACCTGCTCATACCGCGAAACACAATTTCGTAATCCTTGGCTGGGAGCCACAAGCTACCTATTTTTTTTCTTTCTCCCTCTCTTTTGATCATTGCTCCATGTCAATGTGCTCCAGCGTGCCATTTAATTTTCAGTTCAAGTCCACAACATAACCCTCATAAGCCTCCCTGTTCAGGCTAAATATACATCACATACAATAACGGGAAGGGAGAGTGTTTACACAGTGCCTGTCCCACATTTGCGCTGATTTGGGTCACTGATTTGGACTGAGCGGGTGCCGGTGATTCCGCTATAAGGGGAGTGACAGGCAGCCTCTCATCCTTGTGTGTGTGAATGTGAGTTTTATTTTAGCTTTACAAGAGTTCAAGGCTTGGCGGGAAAGTCTTAGTGGGTCAGCTGAGCTTCCTCTTGACGGATAACAGCACATTTAGATCAGGGAGTTCTCAAGGATGAAAGTGAATGGGAAAAGAAGGCAAACGGCAGACAGCTGGTGTTTGTTGACCTTGCACTTAACTACTAAAAACTTTTACTAGTCTGACCACTACCACTTTTGGATTTTTTTTTTCTCATCCTTATGTTGTGCCAACATGTTTGACTTTCTTTTGTTGAGATGCTTGCCTTGTGATTTAAAAAAAAAATGCATCATGCAGTTGCAATTAATGAAGTATCAAGGTTTTCAGTGTTTGAACACTTTTAATGTGACTTTTGATCTACATTTCAAGAATTCACAGTGATAACTTTGTTCCCACTATCATCGGACCATGTTTATGGTTCAGTCCCCATTCAAATGCAATTGCATGGAAAAGACCTGCACAGTCTTCAAAACTTTTCTTGAGTCATTTCAACTTCTTGGTTTTCAACTACTCAGTATATTTTGAGTGAACTTTTTTTAAAAAAAATGCTTTTGTGAGCAACACTTTCCTTCAATGCTTTTAATGTTTGTTCAACCCTTAGCTTGCTTTTCTTATCTTTAATGCAGTTTGTTCGTTATGCAAGAATATTTGTTTACTTCTCACTGGAATGATTAGCCAGTTTATTTTCTTGTTGGCTTGATTCTCTTTTTCCCCCCACTCTCTCCCTCCTAACTACTGATTCTTGAATAAAAGAAAACCAGCTGATGTAATGTTTAAATAGTCCAAGTTAAGCCAAGCTGGGAACTGGAGAATTGGGTCAAGTTTGTTTGCTTAATTATCCTGTTATTTTCAGTCGTGTTTAGATCTCCACTAGTCCATTTAAAATGCACGTAGAAAGTCACGATTACTAAGAACTGGGAAAGTGTGCACTGAATCCTAAAAAGGCTAATATCTATATTACTTAATATCTTGTGGTTTGCTTGTAAATATTGTGTAAAGTATTTGTTGTGTGCATGTCATCTGTTGTCAGTGTGTCACATGATCCTTCAGAAAGTAAACGCGCTGTTTTGGTCCTCAAGAATTTTATATATATAATACATTTTTAAAACAATGGGCTACTGTATATGCACGCATAAGTTCCGCATTTGACGCAAGGATGCTCGTCTGTTTCTGGTTGTGGAGATTAAAGCGGAGGAAACCCGGGGAAAACCGTATTATGGCAGAGTCTTCAAAATTTACTGTCCTCCCGTCTTTGAAATTAAACTTTCATACGTTTAGATGTAATTTTATATATAGTTAAGTTTATTTAATATAATTTTTAAAAGAAGCATAAACACAACGAGGGGTGTGTTTTTCTGACTAACGTTTCTTTATTATTGCCATAGAGTATAAAATTCGATATAAATTCTCGGTATTGCATTGGACTCTACGATCGGCGGAAGTAATCGAGCATCCTCTTCACCGGAAATACCGCCGTGCATAGAGCCCATTGTGAAGCTTAATATTTTTCTGGAAACCATGAAATTTTTTTTTTTTTTTTTTTTTTTTTAGGATTAAATTGAATCTTTTGTAATATTATGAATGTCTTTATTGTCACTTTTGATCGATATAATGCATATTTGTTGAATACAAGTGTTTATTTAAAAAAAAAAAAAATAAGTTAGTGTATATTAGTTTGTACTTTGCAAGTATAAGAATTGGGATTCATGCCTGTGTTGGTGAGGGCAGTGTCACAGTGTGTCTGTGTGAAGTGAATAAGGGTCATGGTTAGACACAGTCCATTCCCTCTGCTGGCCCCCTATCAAGGTTCGGTAGCCTTCGAAACCCAACCGACATGCATGATTCGGTTTCCTTTCATCGTCTTATCTCGCTCTCTCCTTCACTTTCTCTGATACTCCCCCTCTCCTCTTACCTTTCCCCTTCATTACCTGAATATCAACTTAAATGGGGAGGTCATGTCTTCATATTCTCTTTTCTCTCAGCATTTCTCGTTTTCCCTCCATTATCTCTGTCTCTCATTTTCTTTTTTTTGCAATAATGATGGTGTGAACTAGAGAATGAATCACTTTGTGGAGTGCAGTGGAACAGTCTGTACACCCTGTCCTTACCAGAGGTCAGCTTTGTGTTGACGTTAGTAATAGCCATGCGGAAGACAGCGCTTCAAGCTCACCGTCTTTCCTCAGAATTGGTGTTAGTTAAGGTGTATAATGTATTGCATAAACACTGATAACATACCTTTTAACCTGTTGTACTGTGACCTGAGTCCTGACAGTGAACAATATTATCTGTGTGCGTTCAGGGACTTGGGCGCCGTCAAATGTTTTGTCTGTCATTCTCTACTATGACTCCGTAGTTTAATAACCAGGTGTGTGTAGCTTTTTTTGAATTTATTGCTTTATGTATGTGCAATCACATCTAAATTGTTTGAATATCATGATTTCAACCAAAGATTCTGACGAAAAAGTGTTTGTGAACACGTATTGCTTTCTGGTGTGATCTGTTTCCTAAACACAGGGTGTGTTTGAAAACTGGCAATGAATTGCTTTTGCACATGAAAGTTCCTCAGGAAACTGATTTTGGACAAGATTCAGGTCTGAGGCAGCATAATGGATTAATAATCTACAGCAAATTAGAGCAAGCTTTGTTGATAACTAAGCAAATATTTATGAGATCTCATCAAAAGTCAAAAACTTACATTTACACAACAAACCTCCAACTGCTACTTTCAGATGCCATCTTTATTTTTTAGCTGGCACAGAATTGAAAGCACAGGATTGTGGCACATACATCTGTGCTGCCCATCTATGATCAGGAAGTGAAGTTGACATTGGATTCGGACTTGCCTTGATGCCTTTTTTATGCATCCTCAAAAGGTGAGTGAGCTCCCTACTTAGGCAGCATTTTAAGGCAGCATAAGTATGCATGCTACTAACACTAAGGCTCTTCTAAAATACCTTATTTGGGCCAATTTGTTAGTAGAGCACTGCAGTGATTCATGTATTTTTGTTGGCCAACCCAAAAGTTGGTATCATCGAGGTTCCCTCAATTAAAATCCCAATGTTTTTACTCACAGCATGAGTGCTGTGTATTTTAAAGGGTTAGTTCACCCAAAAATAAATATTCTGTCCGTATTTACTCACCCTCATGTTATTCCAAACCTCTATGTGTTTATTTGTTCTGCTGAACACAAAGGAAGATATCTGGAAGAATGTTTTGATCAAACAGATCTCATTCCCTATTGACTACCATAGTAGGAAAAAAATACATATTATGGTAGTCAATGGGGAATGAGATCTGTTTAAATAAAACATTCTTCCAGATATCTTCCTTTGTGTTCAGCAGAACAAATAAACGCATAGAGGTTTGGAACAATACGAGAGTCAGTAAATACTGACAGAATTTTCATTTTTGGGTTAAGTGTTGGGGTTGTACCATAGGCGAACCATATGCGGTTAACACAAATAAAATGTGTTTGAACTTGTTTACATTTTACACATATACTCATATATTTAATAACCCACTCACACAAGCGCTTGTCAATGCGGGAATCTGTTGGTGCTTTCTCCAGTAGTTTGTTGTTCGTCTCTTGAGTTTCTTTTTCGACTGGACCAGTATTACGTTGTGGTCATCTGAAGTATACCTAGGTCTTTAGAAACATTGTCTGTGCCACATACAGTAGCTACACTTACTATGCTGATGAAGAAATTTGACATGCAGTGTACACATAAAAAAACAAAGCACTCTTCGGGCTTTAAAAGGCTGCAGCCTATGTAGTGAGTAGAGCAGCAATATCAATAACAGAGCTCAAGTGTGCATGAATTGTGGTCTATTCCACTATTTAGCTCCCTCTTTTTCTGAGGAGTTTGGATTAGCCCTGCGTAGTCAGAGACAGTGTGATCGCTCTTAAACTCGTCTTGAGTCTACAAGATAATCCTAATCCCCTTAGACAAAACACCAGGCCATCTGGAGCTATCCTAACAAATGCAGCTAATACACTCCACGGCCAGTCAGACACAGACACTGATAGTAATTTAACACGCAACAAACAATACTACAGACAGACGTGTGGGCACATGCAAGAGTTTGTTGATTCCCGTTAGCTGCCTACAGAACTAGATGTAACCGGAAAGCGATTGTTCTATTGGTGAAAGTACATTAGAAACGCTCGTAATGAACCTTGAAGAGTAGATCAGTCTTTGTTTTTGACCAAAAGAGCTTACTTGAAAGCGTGAATAGTATTTACCAGAATTTAGAGTGTCGTAACGTCGAGGCAAGGTTACCACAAACATTGCAGTTTGTAATCGCTCATTTTCACCATAAACTAATTTGCACGAGTGCCCGTAATACGGGACTGTGTTGACATTAATAATATCCATGACTTCAGCGCTAGCACTTGTTTTTAACACCATAACTGTGTCGTCAACTGGAAAACACATTATTTCCTGGCACAAGACATCATGTTATCTTCATAAGGGACCCAGTATCTCTATTTTAGTCCTAACCCAAACACACAAGACTAATGCCACACTTTAACGAAG